ATTATAAATTATGAAATAAAACTAAGGTATGTGTAATATTAAATATGATTTAATATAAAAAATATTTAATTATATTATTAATACGTACATAAAACCCCATATGTTTTTATAAAAATATTATTAATATTAATTAATAAAATGGTTTTTTTTATTTAATTAATTAATTTTTTTATATAGTAATGCTAGCAGTTTTTTTAAATAAAAATAGTTAATTATTATACTACAGCTTAATAGTTACCATTTAATAAGTTTTTTTTGAAAAATAATTATTAATAAAAAAAATTTTACAAACATTTATCTATTGTTAATTATAATAATTATGATTAACAATAATAATAAGCTAGCTAAACTAATTACAATGATTATGATAGTTATTATGATTATAACTATACAGTTATTGTTGATGTCGATTGATTTAACTAATGCATGTTTGTTTTTTTTAAATATATATTGTAATTAATTAGCTGAAAAAAATATATTATGATTAAAATTAATTTTATTTTTTATTTAATTTAATTTATAAAAATTTAAATAATTAAATAAGATTGTCTAAAGTCTAATAAAGATTGCAATGATAAAAAAGATAAACGTATATGTTGCCCTGGTCTAACATGTACAGTAACCAGAGAAAAAGGTCCAAAAAAATGGTCAATGTGTATATAAATAAAATTTTAAAAATTAATTTTAATAATAATTGCATGTTATTGCAGCCAGTATGTTTTATATAAAAAAAATGTATGATGTTTTATTTATAAAATATTATATATTAAATAAAAGTTAACCTATTAAATAATTATAATACATTATATTATAGTGTATTAGATATTAATATATATTATAGTAAACTATTTATTTTTTTTAATAAAATTTAAAAAATAAATATAATGTATGTATCATTATTACAAATTAAATTAAAAATATTAATTTAGTTATTACTTATACGAATTGGTCTATTAATTACATTTATATTATTAATTGTAAAAGTATTTACTGATTTATTATTATAATTATTGTTATAATGGAAAATTTTATACAGTGAAAAATAGTTAATCATTAAGATATTAAAATAATTGCCAACCGTTTTCAGACTTCCGACTGCAGTCCAACCGAACCAAATTCCGCAAACACTGGCCAAGAATATTAGATATTCAAAAAAAATCTAGTTTTAAATTTTGATCGTAAACTAAAAATATTGATGTCATCGGTTCAATATATATGAAAACATTATTATTTTTATATTTATGTTTAATAATATCAATACGATTTGTATAATATTCTGCGTAACAAACAAAATTTTGTTTACATTTATATAAACAATTTGTTTGAATATCATCGATTTGTTCAGTTAAACGTTGACTATAATAATCATGATAAATTGTTTTATTATTATTATTATTAAATGTACACAAATAACGAGCCATACATTGATGAAATTTATTATAAAAATTATTAGCTACACATAAATCATAGCAATCATCCTGGCTAATTGATAACGATTTTTTATTATCAAAACTACTATAATGTTTACAATTATGATCAGCATTATTATTGAATGAAAAACGTGAAAATACTACAGTATTTATCACAGAATTTTCTAATGTTAAAAATTTCTGACCAATTACTGGAACTGTTAGACTAGTTGAATGAGTTCTTAGATATACAGTAGTATCAACTGATAATATAAATGGTGTATCAATACTTAATGTTATAAAATAATCGGTACTATAGTTCATTGGTAATAAATCATATAGATTTTTGAATAATGTTAGACATAGATATTGATGATCAATTGATAATCGTTGATATTTTAATGTATCGTATTTAGTTAGATCATAATGATGATAATCATAACGAAGATCATATTCAAACCAGTCATCGATTGTTACCATTGAATCAATTTGGTCATGTACAGTTTGATTATTCATATAATTTAATAATAAATAATAATCGACCATGTTAATCGTATTATTTGTTATTGTTTTATTACTATTATTTTTAAACAATTCTATTGGCAATGAATTGTTTCGTAAAAATAATATTTTATCCAAACAAACAGTTATTGCTGGTAATTGTATTGAAAAAATTGGCTCAGTTTTTGTACTAGTAACTTTATCATATAATAAATATATAGTAGTTATTGTAATCACTTGATATAACCAACCAATTAGACAACAAATAAACCATTTATGTTTGAAATTTTTTAATTTAATTGCTATCGATTTAATTAATGAAATTAATTTTTCGATAATATATACCATTTTTTTGTTGTTGTTGATAACCGTAATAATATAATTTTATTATAATTTTATTATAATTTTATTATAATTTTATTATAATTTTATTATAATTTTATTATAATTTTATTATAATTTTATTATAATTTTATTATAATTTTATTATAATTTTATTATAATTTTATTATAATTTTATTACACTTTTATAACTGTTACAATTTATTGAGTATCAAATAATCAAATAAAATAATAAAATAATTTAAATATTTGTTTTTAAAAAATATTAATAATATTTTAAACAAGAAATTTATTTATTTGTATCTATAATATAGTTATAAAAATATTATTTATAATATAATATAATAATTTTATTTAATATTAAACGGAAATATTATTATTATTCATTTACTATAGTTGTACTCAATATAATAGCAAATATAAGTTATTTACAGTACTATATATATATGTATACCTATATATTATTTCAAAACAAAAATCATTAGTAAAATCTATTAAGTAATATAATTTTTATTGTAATATTTTATAATTAAATATTTGTCAATATAAATATTTTTTATTTTTATTAACAATAGTACATTTATCATAATCATTAGACTAGCTTTTATATGAATCAATTAATTGCAATATTATTTATAATTTTTAAAAAATAATTTTAACATACTTAATAAAAAAAGTATTATTAATAAAACTATATTATATAACATATTTATATTTATTTAATTCAAAAAAAAATCATTAGTAAAATCTATTAAGTGTAGTATAACTTTTTGCAGTTATATTTTTTCAAATAAAATGTTTGTCAACAAAATTAATTATTTTTATTAATTATTTTATATAACATAATTTTTTATACTAGCTTATTTATAAATCAATTAATTGAAGTATTATTATTTTATTTTTTAATTTTAGCATACAATATAATATTAATAAAATTTTAATGATGTTAAGTATTTTTCTAACATATAATTAGCTAAAAAAAATTTTAGATCATTATTTTACTAAAATTTATTATTTATTATTATTATGATAGAGCACTTAAATAATTTTATTTTACTTAAAAACAATATAAAGTACATAAATGCTATTAAAAATATTTAATTTATTTTTAATAGTTAAAGTACATTGATAATTATATTTCTAATTATTCCACAAATTGTTGTCTAAACTCAGTATAAAAAATTATTTATTTTTTTTTTAAAATAAATAATAAAAAACAGTTGAAAAGTCAAATGTAAATTCAAACTTAAAAAATAGTTTTCTAATATAAAACAAAAAACTTATTTAATATAATAATTATAATAAATATTAGAAAACACTTGTATTTTATTAATTATAATATATTTTAATATTTCAACCTATAATTATAAATTTGTTTATAATTATAAATAAAAATAATTTTTTGTTTGTTAGAAATATTATTATAGAAAACTTATGTCTAATAATTTATTAAATACCAGATTCTGTTTGTAGTACTATTAATAGATATTATAATTAACAATAGAAATATCAATATACTTTAACTATTAAAAATAAATTAAATATTTTTAATAGCATTTATGTATTGTATATTGTTTTTATTTAAAAAAATTATTTAAATGATCTATCATAATAATAATGAATAATAAATTTTAGTAAAATATTGATATTAGATATTTAATATTATATAAAACTAATTATATGTTAGAAAAATACTTATCATCATTAAATTTATATTAATATTATATTGTATGCTAAAATTAAAAATAATAGTGCAATTAATTGATTTATAAATAAGCTAGTATAATAATTATGTTATATAAAATAATTAATAGAAATAATTAATTTTGTTGACAAACATTTTATTTGAAAAAATATAACTGTAAAATTTATATTACTTAATAGATTTTACTAATGATTTTTGTTTTGAATTAAATAAATATAAATATGTTATATAATATAGTTTTATTAATAATGTATAAAATTTTTAAAAAAAATTATTAATTATAAAATTAAGGCTAAACGCGACTCAAAAATTTTACGTATAAAGTAACTACAGTTAATTTTGTCGTAATAAAAATATATAAACTATACGTTATTACTGTAAAGCTACTAATACTGATAAAAATGTTTTTTTAATTAAATTATTTTATTGCTAAAAAATAATAACGACACCTTGATTGCACAATAAATTTTTTATTGACAATTGTTTAAACAATTTTTTTTTAAAAAAATCAAATTTAAATAATAGTCTGTTAGTCAAACTAATTGTTCTATAAGGTTAATAATCAACGAATATTTTATAATAAAATCTAATAAAAACAAGCAATAAAATAATTTAATTTAAAAAAAAAACATTTTTATCATTATTAGTAGCTTAACAGTTTATAAAGTAAAGTTTATATATTTTTCTATTACGACAAAATTAACTGTGGTTACTTTATACGAAAAAATTTTGAATCGCGTTTAGCCGTTAGAACACAGCTTAGAAAGTTTCTAGAAAATTTCTCATTGAATAAATTATTATATTATTTTATATTTTTTTCCTTTTGTTATTTTTTCAAATTTATTTAGTTGTCTAATATTTAATAACTTATATATTTTCAGAATTATTATCAGAGAGTTAATCAATTTATTTATTAAATTTATTTTTCATTAAAAAAAACTTTAAAACAAATATTAATATATTTATATAATTACTAAAACAATTGTAAAACTAAAACAAATAATAATAAAAAAAAATTATGTCTAAAAATTTATTTCAAAATTTTAAATAATTGCCGCATCTTTGGCCAGTGAATAGAAAATAGTTTTGTCATTATTTAGTAGATTATTTGGTGTATCAAATTCGGCTACCCGTCCCTTATCCAGGACTAGTACACGATCTGAATCCATAATTGTGTTCAATCGGTGAGCTATGGTCAGTACGGTAGCCGATCGGAAATGTTTGCGAATTGTTTGCTGTATTAGCGAATCGGTTTCCACGTCGACGGCAGCCGTGGCCTCGTCTAGGATAAGCACACGTGTATTGCGTAGTAAAGCCCGGGCCAGACATATCAGCTGACGTTGACCGACACTAAAATTATCGCCACCTTCGGTGACCAGATAGTCCAGACCGGAATCGTTTGATTGGATAAACGATTTCAGATGCGATCGATCTAACGCTGACCACAATTCAGTGTCCGAACAGTTGCCAAACGGATCCAGATTTGAACGTACGGTTCCCGTATAGAGTACCGGTTCTTGTGGTAAGATTGTTAGCCTAGATCTGAGCTGCGGTAGACCCATTTGACTGATATCGATACCGTCGATGACTATCCGACCCGATACCGATTCAATCAGTCGAAACAATGCCAGCGTTAGCGACGACTTTCCAGCACCGGTTCGGCCAACTATTCCGATCTTATGTAGTATTGATATGAATTGAAATAATAATTAATTTTATTTTAGAAAAAACATTTATAAATTTCTATATATATATATATATATTAGAGGGAGGAACCGAAACGGTTCGGTTTCATAAAACCGAATGAAACCGGAACCGAAACGGCTTTTTCACGGTTTTGGTTTTTGTGTTTCGGTTCCGGTTCGGTTTCGGTTTCTGTCTTTCAGGTCCGGTTTGGTTGCGGTTCTTGTTTTTAGCTTTCGGTTTTAAAACGGTTTCGGTTTTAGAGACGGTTCCGGTTTTAGAAACGGTTTCGGTTTTAAAAATGGTTTTAGATTTAAAACGGTTTTAATTAAAAACTGATTTGAGTTTAAATTAATAGCACAAATAAAATTATCTTTAGAAATACTGTTGTTAATATTATTAAATATTTTTATTAAACTATTATTACTTTATATTAATATAATAATTGCATTTAAAAAATAGTTATTTATAACTTTTAATTATTACTATTAATTATTATTTTTAATTATTTATTAACTAAAATTTATCTATTTTTAATTAATTATTAATTTAGTTATAAAATTATATTTATAAGCTTATATATTATAATAAATATAATAACTATAACTTATACTAATTTAATTATAACCGTATTTTATAACAATAAATAAAAATATGAAAATCAATTTTTTAGATTTTAAGCCCACTTTTTACCCCCTTAATATTATTAACGTAATTTATGTAAGATTACGGTTCGGTTCCGGTTTCATTCGGTTCCTAAGTTTTAGTTACGGTTCGGTTACGGTTCAGGATTTTCAGATTTTTCGGTTCGGTTGCGGTTCCTAAAAACTCTTCGGTTCCCCCCTCTAATATATATCAGGGTTGCGAAGGGGTGGGGTGGGTAGGGTAGACCATATTACCCTCCCTGAGATCGACATTTTAGGTTTTTAGGTCCCCCCCTGGCCAAAAAGTTAGGGATCCCCGCACCGTAACAATTTGTTTTAATTAGTGTGAAAAAATTTAATACTACAAATAATACAAAAAATATAAATACTATCTATTGAGCAGTTTTAATATAATTAAATAGCTTATTTTACAACAACAACAAAAAACTGGTTAAATATTTTTTTTTATAAATATCTAGAGTTATATTTATAAGGAATTTACTGGGAATTTATTGGGAATTTATTGGGAATTTATTGGGAATTTATTGGGAATTTATTGGGAATTTATTGGGAATTTATTGGGAGTTTATTAGAAATTTATTTGGTATTTATTGGGAATTATTGATAATTTACTGGGAATTTACTGGGAATTTGGCAAAAAATGTCGTTTAAAAATGCAATACAAATTGTTCACCCCACCCTATACCCACCCCAAGCTTTTTTGAGATTTTTGTCATTTTACCCTCCTATACCTCCCACCACCCCCCCCCCCCCTGAAATCGTAAACCTTTAGCAAACATTTAGATATATATATATCGAAATATATCATTACTTTTTCGCCAGAATTGATACGAATATCGATTTGATTTAACACTAAATCCAATCCCTGTCTATAGCGGGTACTATACTGTCTGAATTCAATACAGCCATCGGTTGGCCAGTTGTCTGGCAATAATGGTTGCTGACTAGTATTATTAGCTTCCGATTCAAGCTGACAGTATTCATCTAAACGTTCAAACGATACCATACTTGTCTCCAATTGTGTAAACAATCTGACCATTAGGCCGACSGCATACGACAGTCCGGTAATATTGGACAATGACATACCGGTATCGCCGCCGCTAAGCGACTGGCGTTTCAATATTATCAACAGTGAAGCACAAAGTATCAGTAAACTGGATATAAAATCCAAACGGATTTGTAGCCAATTGTTGACTACTGTGCTTGAATATTGGCACCGTTGGTTAGTATCKATWAGTGTGTCCATATGACCAATAAATCGATCCATACATCCATAAGCTCTAATACTGGGTAAACCGTCTAATGTTTCGCTAAAATAGGCAATTATTGGCGACCGAGTAATTGATTCCAAACTATTATATATTTATATATTTTTTTCAAAAAAATAATAATTAATTAATTATCTAAAAATATTATGATAAATTTAAAACAATTAATAATTTAATTATTAATTTAAAKATATATATATCAGGYGTTATCAGRATAATGATTTTTGATTAAAATGCACTGTCGAAGCTTATGGTCTATCAAAAATATATTTCACCTAGCTTAAATACACTGTTACATATTTTTTTTTTTAATTACTCATATTTTGATTAGGCATTTTTGATGTAATTTATTAGTATATAAAATTAATAGTATTTAATTTGTGTATTATAATTTTTTTTGTTTTTTTTAACTTGGTCATTAATTATGTTTTTAAAATATGGGACCGTATAGTCATCTGWTAACGCCTGATATATATATATATATATATATATATATATATCTAACCGTTTTATTTGACACGATATTCTTGTATAATAATGCTTTAAAAAAAGAGAGATAATAATAATYAGTCAAAAAAAGTTATTAATATTTTAAACATATATATATTAAACATATTTTTACTTTTTACAGTTTTTACAGATTTTTTTKCAAGCTTATTATAAATACCTGAAATATATAGATTACAATTATATAAACGATTACTGGTATTATAAACAATGGGATGACAATCGATATGACTATTATACCCGACAGGCTTACCAACAATAGATATAAAACATAACTGTTTGTATTTTCATATAAATATTTTTAAAGAAAAAAACAAATAGTAGAAATCAATTAATTAATWAATTAAAATATTTTACCTATAAATGTATTTTTTAAAAATAAAATTATTATTATTGGCTTAAAAAGCATCGGTATATGTAAACCGCTATTTGTTGCTGAAGTTTTTTAATAGCTCTTAAAATTTAACAAGTTTTTTAAAAAAGGTTTTTTTTATTGATTCTAGCCCTCAACACTTCCTATACACATACACATACACATACACATACACATACACATACACATACACATACACATACACATACACATACACATACACATACACATACACATACACATACACATACACATACACATACACATACACATACACATACACATACACATACACATACACATACACATACACATACACATACACATACACATACACATACACATACACATACACATACACATACACATACACATACACATACACATACACATACACATACACATACACATACACATACACATACACATACACATACACATACACATACACATACACATACACATACACATACACATACACATACACATACACATACACATACACATACACATACACATACACATACACATACACATACACATACACATACACATACACATACACATACACATACACATACACATACACATACACATACACATACACACACATACACATACACATACACATACACATACACATACACATACACATACACATACACATACACATACACATACACATACACATACACATACACATACACATACACATACACATACACATACACATACACATACACATACACATACACATACACATACACATACACATACACATACACATACACATACACATACACATACACATACACATACACATACACATACACATACACATACACATACACATACACATACACATACACATACACATACTACACATACACATACACATACACATACACATACACATACACATACACATACACATACACATACRCATACACATACACATACACATACACATACACATACCACTTCCTAACCCTCTACTCCCACTCCAACCTAATCTAACCTAAAGTAATAGTCAAGAATTTTTCAATAAACTTAATGGTTATAAMAAATTTCAACAACAAATTGGTAACACATATACCAAAGTTTTGCCTTATTTTTTAACTAAAAAAAATAATATTTAGTTTGCATTTAATTAATTAATTTAAATTTTATTTTTTTTAKTTGTTTATATTTATTMCATATATAAAAAAATACCTGAATGTAAATTCAGTGACTGTATCCAAGGTATCGATATCTTTGCTAAACCGGTTGACTATACGRCCCAATGGTGTCGTATCGAAGAACTTCATCGGCGATCGCATTACAGACCATAAGAGTTTGTCGTGCATTCGKGTSGACGCCAACAGCGMACCGAAAACCAATGCAAACCTACCGACAATCAGTGTCATCATCTGACCGACGGTCAGTGCGGCTATTATWCCTAAATAATAGCCGTTTGAGTGTACCGTATGATGAGTASCGTTATGTTGTTGTTGTTGGTGTTGGKGTTGTTGTTGGCTCCATGTGTTCAGCCAAAAGTTGATGCCAATGGTCACAGCAAACGATATGATTAGAAATATAATCGTAAGCGTCGACAACGTTATCGACATTTGTTTGGCGTATTTTAGATAAACCTATAAATTTAAAAATCTATTTATATATATATATCTAATAATTATTTTATTACATTAAAATTATATATAAATATCTTGTATTATATAAATATATATATATATATATCAGGGTTGCTAAAGGGTGGGGGTAGGGGGAGTAAGACGTCTTACCCCCTGAAATCGATAAATTTAAGCTTTTACCCCCCCTGGCCTGAAGCCAAAAAGTTAGGGGGCCACTACCAATTTTCGGAATGTGAATTTAGCGGGAATTTAGTAGGAATTAGCTTTTTCGAAAATTTTACCATTTTACCCCCTATACCCCCCACCTGAAAATGAAAAACCTTTAGCAACCCTGATATATAYATATATACTCTATACTACATGTAAAGTTAGATCMMTGTTATTTTTGTTGTTGATAATAGTATATTATAACTTATAATTTTATAACTTATAAATTATAAGCATTATATATTTATTTGATATTAATTTGTTTTTTAATTTAATAAATTATTAATAATTATTAATAATCACATGCAACACATTAAAAAACAAGTAATTGTTATAAATTATATATTAGTATATATATATATATATAGTAAGTTTACTGTAGATAATACCAACAACAACAACAAAATTAAATTATAATATAAAGATATATACTGTATATATATATATATATATATAATATCTATATCAACAAAATTATTATAAATAAAATTTTACTAACCTTATAGTTAACATCGCCTGTCTCTATATATTCATCATTAATAAGTTGTTTAATAATTTTATTATCATTATTATTATTATATATAGATACTCTACTTTTACGTTTATTATTATTATTATTATCATTATTATTATTAATATTATCTCTATTAGTAGTAGTAGTAGTAGTATTAGTAGTATTAGTAGTATTAGTAGTATTAAAATTATTATTATTATTATTAATACAGTTTTCATCTAAATTATTATCATTTGAATTGTTGTTAACTGAATATTGTTTGACTAAATCGGAAAACATTTTGTTTTCATTAATTAGATAATCATAGGAACCGATTGCTATTATATTGCCATCCGATAGGCAAACAATCAGATCGACATCAGGTAATACAAACAATTGATTGGTTACCAGAATTCGGGTTTTATTTTTCAATAGCCCTGTCCTCGAGTCTAACACTTCATGCATTAGATGTTTACCGACATGACTGTCCACTTTGACAATACAATTATGTATTACATATAAAAAAACATACATAAAAATTAAGGGAACAGTATATAAATCGGTTATATATATATATACATTATATATATAACCCATTTGTTGTTGAAGTTTTTTTTAATAGCTAATTAAGTTTTTATATACCCGCCCTCACCTCCCCATTAACACACACACACTATTTCCTAATTTTATACGCCCACCCCACCCCCGTCAAACCTAACCGATTTGTTGTTTAGATTTTTTTTTAATTTTTTTAAAAAAGCTATTAAAATGACACAATGTATCAAAAGTTTTAGATACCAGCCCTCACATCCCGTTTTTCTTCACTCCACCCCCCCCCATAACACACACCACTTCCTAACCTTCTACACCCACCCTAACCCTAACCCTAACCCTAACCCTAACCCTAACCCTAAACATATATAATATAATAACACAAAAAATTTTGCCAAATTAAGTATTTTTTTGAGATTTTTATAAAAAAAAATAAATTAAAAAAAATACCTGCGCTTAGAGGGTCGTCCAGCAGATAAATATCGGCCTCGGAATATACAGCCCGAGCCAAACTGATTCGTTGTTTTTGACCGCCGCTTAAATTGATACCTTTTTCGCCAATTTCTGTCTGATCGCCGGCCGATAGTTGTCTGAGATCCTGTTCCAGTGCACAGCCGACTACTACCCGACGATACAGTCCGTTGTCCAATGGTTTGCCAAACAATATATTGTCCATAACTGATGCATTCTGTATCCACGGCTGTTGGGGAACGTATGCTATGTTTTTTCGGCCACCCATTCGGCCGCCGCCACCGCCGCCGACACTAACTTTGCCTAATAATAGTCGCATTTCGCCGAATAGCGACTCGAGTATCGATGACTTACCTGAGCCGACACTACCGACTATTGCCACAAATTGTTTGTCCATTATTTTCAAATTAATATTATTCAAACTAAATACACTATTAGTAGTAGTAGTATTAGTAGCAATTGGTTTATTATTTTTGTTGTCTACTAATATCGTCGGTGTGTCTAATGGTTTGGTCGACTCCCATGTGAACCAACCGTTTGTTACCCTAACCACACACTTTGGATGATCATCCATACTGTCCATACATCCATTACCGTTGTCTTTATTGTCGTCATCAATTTGTCTAACGTAATCACATTTATCGTTAAGATTCAGATATTTTTCTAAACGTTTAATTGCAACCATAATCTAACCACAAAAAAATTAATAATAATTTAGTAATAACTTAGTTAACAAATTTGTTTACTTATTTTTTTTTGTTGAAATATAGTATACATCAGGCGTTTATCAAGATAATGATTTTTGATTACTTTTGATTAAAAATGCACTGTCGAAGCTTATGGTTTATTAAAAAAAATATATTTGACCTAGCTCAAATACACTGTTACATATTTTTTTAATTTTTTAATTACTCATATTTTTTGATTACTCATATTTTATGTAATTTAATAGTATATAAAATTATTAAGTTATTTAATTTGTGTATTATTATTATTTTATTTTTAGGTTTTTTATCTTGGTCATTAATTATGTTTTTAAAACATAAGGGACCGTAACGCCTAGTATACTATAACAGCAGCAGCAATAATAATAATAATAATTGTTATACCCATATGAATGAATTGACCCCCTGGGGAAACATAACCAGTACACCCCTGAGAAATTGGGCCAGGGCTAGGGGTACAAACAATTTTTGGGCATCCAATCGATGGTCATCATCATCGGCAGTATTGATCATTATGTAGGCCATGAATATGAAAAATATGATCCAATAGGGCGAACACGAGGCCATCACCGAATAGGATACGTTCAACAGTGTAGACCAACGCAATTGTCTCATTTCCATCAAACGTAAGTTGACTATTATTTTGTGAAAAGCCTCCTCCCAGGCGTATAACTAAATTAAAAAAAATTAAAATAAATTAAAAAGATATAGTTTTTTATAATAAGTTTAGGCGTGGTTCACATATTACGTTCGCACTTGAGGGGAGGGGGTTAGCTAAAGCGAACTTTTGCGAACGAGGGGGATGGGAGGGGTAGAGACTTTATGAACGTTCGCATTTAGATAATATTTTATTTCTTGTGGTGGCGGGGGAGGGGGGTAGCGGTTACGGACATGCGAACGTATTTTTTTAAATGACTAAATGCGAACAATTGCGAACATAGGGGAGGGATGGGGTCTAGATTTCCTAAAAAGTGCGAACATAATATGTGAAGCACGCCTTATATATATATATATATTCAGTACTTTTGTCACTTTCATGCCATTCAATATATCGTTAGTAATGTTTAGTCGTTGATCTTTGATTAACATTTGTTTACCAATAAAATGTTTGGCATATTTCGATACTATGGCACACATTAGGAACAGTAGCAGAATAATAGCCAAACCGGTTAGCGATGATAAACCTAAATATATGTAAAACTGGTAGAGTATGACAGCTATCTGTATGGGCGATACGATAGCAAATATAACCATATGTAAATCATCTAGGGTGATTTGAAAAAAAATAATAATTTATTTTTTAGTTAATATACTAGTATAATAATAGTATATACAGTATAGTTGTATTATTTTCTATATACAATATATATATATATCAGGGTTGCGATAGGGGTGGGGTAGGATAGGGTAAGGTCATCTTAACCCCCCTGAGTTCGAGATTTATAGGTTTTATCTACCATTTCCCAAAAGCCAAAATGTTTGGGGACCCCTACCACCCTATACCCCAGTTGTTTTTTATGAGATTCTTGATATTTTACCCCAACCCTATACCGCCCCCACCCCCATGAAATTGAAAACCTTTTGCAATCCTGATATATATATATATATAATATAATAATTATTAAAGTATAATAATTTAATTTTTAAATATACCGGTAAAACGGCTACAATCGATGGCAATTAAGCTAATTATTTCGCCGTTAGTGACCACACTATTACCGTCGCCGCCGCCGCTGTTGTTATTGTCGACGACAAACATCTTGCGATATATGGCTGATGTCAGACACGACCGGATTCGTTGACCTTTTTATTTATTTAAAATTTTAATTTTTTAAAAAAAGTAAGTTTTTTGATTAAATAAATAAAAATTATTATTTTATATTTTTTATTATATATATATCAGGCATTATCATTCTAGTGATTTTTTAATTAAAATATACTGTTTAAGCTTATGATTTATTAAAATATATTTGATCTAGCTTAAATACAATGTTACATATTTTTTTAATTACTCATATTTTGATTAAACATTTTATATAAATTAAAAAATATATAACTTTATATAATTAGTTATTTAATTTGTGTATTATAATTTTTTGTTTTGTTTTTTACCTTGGTCTATTTGTTTTTTTAAATAAGGGACCGTATAATCATCTTATAACGCCTGATATATTATTATTATTAGTATTATTATTATTATTATTATTATTATTATTATTATTATTATTATTATTATTATTATTATTATTATTATTATTATTATTATTATTATTATTATTATTATTATTATTATTATTATTATTATTATTATTATTATTATTATTATTATTATTATTATTATTATTATTATTATTATTATTATTATTATTATTATTATTATTATTATTATTATTATTATTATTATTATTATTATTATTATTATTATTATTATTATATTATTATTATTATTATTATTATTATTATTATTATTATTATTATTATTATTATTATTATTATTATTATTATTATTATTATTATTATTATTATTATTATTATTATTATTATTATTATTATTATTATTATTATTATTATTAGTTAGTAGTAGTTAGTTATTAGTAGTAGTAGTAGTAGTAGTAGTAGTAGTAGTAGTAGTAGTAGTAGTAGTAGTAGTAGTAGTAGTAGTAGTAGTAGTAGTAGTAGTAGTAGTAGTAGTAGTAGTAGTAGTAGTAGTAGTAGTAGTAGTAGTAGTAGTAGTAGTAGTAGTAGTAGTAGTAGTAGTAGTAGTAGTAGTAGTAGTAGTAGTAGTAGTAGTAGTAGTAGTAGTATTAGTATTATATATATATATATTGGTAATTACCTAAAACTGTTGAATATTGGCTATAAAATGCACAGACAAATGAATAAAACAAATTCATTGAAACCAATACCAGTCCGTAGACATAGCCGTGCCATTCGGGTTCAGCCAGGTTTTCGGTAAAACTAATCATCCAACTTAATATATATATATATATATATATATATAGATAGTTAATATTTTAGATTTTCATTAATATATAGTATAATATAGTAAGTTTTAAAAAAATATTATTTTAAATAATTATATAATTTATTTTGAAAAAATATAATATAAAATAATTATATCTTATACTCATTATTTGACTATAAATAAAAATCTATTTCAATATATATGGGATATGAAATATATTTTGAGAAATATGATAGATTAATATAAAAAAAATTTTAAAAAAAGTTTCATTATAGCTTTTATATTTAGATAAATTTAATTTATATTTAAAATAATAATAATAATATAATAATTTATAAAAAATATATAGTATTATATCTATTATATTGACATATACAACTTTTTTAAAATAAATTATATATAAATTTGAATTAATATTCATTAAAATATTAATTAATTTATATATATATATATATATATATATAGTATAGTATATTATAGTATTTATCATAAATTGTATTAATATATATATATATAGTATAATAACATAAATTAAATTTGAATCCTTTATAAAATAAAATAATAATTTTAATAATAATAATAATAATACCTGATAACAATTGGTTGTAATACACGTACAATGCCGGCCACAATAACCAATGAGCTGGCTAATATATAATTTAAGCCATATGTTTTGAATAGGACCCAGAACAAACTACGCTGATGCTGCTTAGTTGTTATAGTATTAGTTAAATTATTATTTATATAATATTTTTTTTGTCTATATTTTCCTAACCATACGAATAATGATAATTGATTTGCTATTTTATTATTATTATTATTCAATGAATTATAATAAAAATTATTATTATTATTAGTAGTAGTAGTAGTAGTAGTAGTAGTATTAGTACTACTACTAGTAGTCCAGTGTTTAGCAAATAGTTGAAAGTTATATAATGTACTATCGTTTGGACGGACAGTCCATAAACTGTTAACATTAGCTATTGATTGATTTTTTATGGATTTTAAAATCAAACTGTTTGCCCAATGAAACGTTAGTTTCGATATAAATGAGGCCCTATTTTCGGGACAGTTATTATTATTATTATTATTTTGACTAATATTTTTTAATTGTGGCAATCGATCGGTAACTAAACTAAATCCAAATAATAGGACTGTCAGTGAATATTCAATACAATATAATATAAATTCATAGCTAGTTTGGCGGTTGTCTTGTTGTTGTTGTTGTTGTTGGGCATATGTGGCCACCGATAGGCCACCAAAAACCGTATCCAATAGCAGGTATAGCCAAACACAACCGCTTCGGTGTATACCATACTTTCGGTGACAGTAGTAAACTGCACACAAAGCTAGTCGTGTAAACACCTGAATAATTGTTGCCAATATCTGGGCAATGGTTGTCTGATTATAGTCTAACCATTGATATCGTCGACACAAACCAAGTATACAATCAGCTAATGTAATACAAGTGCAGACAATAGCTATCGATAGACGACTAATATTATAGTAATTCCAATTAATTTCAAATTTTTTTTCCGATGATTTAATACAATCCCATATCAGATACGGTATACATAACCACAGTGTAAGCGCCGGTAGCCATACAAATACTGTCTGAATCATACATAAGCTTAGTTTAGGTGATTCTGTATTCCAGGTTTGACTGGAATTCTAATTTTTAAAAAATATAAATAATTAATTAAAAATTTAATAATATATTTTTTTTTAAATGTAGACAGTTTAGATAAAAATAAACTCAAATACAAGTAA